TTGTCTCCAAATGTCACCTTTCCACCACTAAATGGCCGTAGTGAGAGGAACAAAGATTTATCTCCGGTCATGTGTTTAGAACAACCACTGTCAAGGAACCAGTGATTGTTCCCCCTCACTCGGTGTTGTTCCAGGATTAAGGTTTAGTGCGTGGAACCCAGACCTGCTTGGGTTCCATTTTATATTGGTTTGAGGAATATTTACTGAAATTAAGGCTTCTCTCTAAGGCCTGTTGTCGAGAGTGACATTGATACATAAGATGTCCGTCTTTGCCACAATATCCGCAAATCCGGCTGTCATATGTATCAACATATTTGGTTTTCCGATTTCCGAAATGATCTTTGCCCCTTTTATAAAATCCTCGGTTAGGTGTTTGACCATAACCTGTTTTGTGCCTTTGAACCAGCTTATCGAACTAGGTTGGTCTAGTTCTAGGTTGTCTATGGTACGGTCTAGAACTGGTTTGTTCTCTAGTTCTATTACCATAGAAGGGTTGGTTCTGAAAACTCGGTTTTTGATTTGTTTGAGAATTTCTTGGAATGTATCCGAGACCAGCAGTCTCGTTTTCCTTTCTTTTGTACCGAGAGGGTCCAGTTCTAGAATGTTGTCTAGACCTGGTTCTTACCTTGGTACTATATGGTTGGTATTCCGGTTTGTTTTTAAAATCCTGTCTCTCATCCTCAAGGCGATTGAGATGATTTATGAGCAAGGCAATGTTCGGAATTTTTCTTAGAAGTTTTTCTTCGTCATTAACTTGTTTATTCATATTATCGAGCTTGAGTGAGCAAATGAGGTTATCTTGTTCCAAAACCACTTCACTATACTTGAGCCTTTCATCTATTAACTCTCCCACTTTTGTTTCCAGCCTTATCTTGGCTCTAGTGGCTTCCTCGAGTTTAGACTCAAGTTCGGTGATTTGTGATTTAAGATTATCGTTTTCAGAAAGACTTTGATTTAGTTCGATTGTTAATCTTTTGAAATTCTTTCGGACCTTGCCTTTAGAGAGGGAATCAAATTTAGAAAGAAACCTCTCCAAATTTAACTCGAAATTCTCTTGGTCGGATTCTACATCGGAATTAGCCATGAGGCACAATCCAGCATGATTTAGGCCCTTTTCTTCTTCTTCTTCTTCATCATCGGATGAGTCTCCCCAGGCTGCCATCATTGCCCTTTGAGGTCTCTGTTGAATCCTTTATCTTCACCGGACCTCCGATGGGAACTGGTCTTGTTCTTGTCGTAGGTTCTATCATTTTTCTTTTGAGGACAATCTTTTGCCCTGTGCTCAAAGGAACCACAAACGAAACAACCTTGGTTATTAAAAGATTGGAAACCCTTTTTACCTTGTTTATTTCGGTTGCCTTTGAATTTTCGGTACATCTTTCCGAATTGCTTGGCGAACATGCTCATTTCATCTTCCGATTCACTTCCGGATTCTTCTTCTTCTTCTCAAGCCTTGAGAGCTATTCCTCGCTCTTTTCTCACATTTTCTGCATCTTGTTCTTCTTGTAGGCCTAGCTCATATGTCATGAGTGAGCCGGTCAAGTCTTCTAGCGTCATGGTAGAAAGATCTTTAGCTTCTTCTATTGCTATAGTTTTAGGCTTCCATGCGGATGGCAAGCTTCTCATAACTTTTCTCACCTGATCTTCTACAGTAATATCTTTTCCAAGTGCTGAGAGCTCATTGATAATACTAGTAAAACGTGTAATCATATCCCTAATTGATTCTTTAGGCTTCATCACGAATAATTCGTAATTACGCATAAATATGTCAATTTTGGATCTTTTTACACGCGAGGTACCCTCATGCGTAATCTCAAGTAAATCCCACATTTGTTTTGCGGATTTGCATCCAAGAACACGGTTGTGCTCAGCCGGACCAAGTCCACAAATCAAATATTTCAATGCTTGAGCATTATGCTCGAGTTTACAATAATCATCAGAGGTATATTCAGATTTGGGTTTAGGGATAACCTTACCTTCGGCATCTTCTTTAGTAATGATGTTATCGCCTACTTCAATTACGTTCCATACCTGGTAGTTCTCAGCCTTGATGAAGTTCTCCATTCGACTCTTCCAGAATTGATAAAATTTGCCGTTGAACAACGGTGGTCATTGAGTCGAGTATCCTTCCTCCAATCGTTCAACCGTATTCATGCTGCCGGATCTCTTCCCAAGGTTTTAACCTTTCTGTGGTGAAGACCGCCTCTGATACCAATTGATGAAACGGTTAGCAACACAAGAGGGGGGGTGAATTGTGTGTGTGGAACTGTGACAGTTTTTCACACAGTTCTAGTGTGGGGTTCAGGGATTTAGGAAATAATAAAGTGCACAAGATTTAACGAGGAAAAATCCCTTGGCTCAAAGGGATTAAAAAACCCCGACCTCCCTCGGAGGAATTTGAACAACTTCACTAAAAAGCCTTTGAATGATTACAAGGGAAACTCTCCTAGTCTACCCTTGAGCCACCCCAACTCTATCCTCTCTAGGAAGAGTTATGCTTCTCTACCTTGAGGGTAGAGAGCCTCTCAGCTTTACAACAAAGCTCTCACAACACACTAACTGACCCGAAGATGCTACACTTAGTCAATCCTCAAAAACCCAATTACAATATGAAGAAAGGAAAAGGAAACTCTGTTTGGAACTCCGTGAGCAGGTTCAGGTGCCTTGGACTTAGTAGATATTCTTGTGTATATTTCTCAATAGAAGCTTGGTCAAGCACACCCTTTCGTCTGGTCTTTAGTCCAATATATATAGCATCCGTAGCCTCTTCTTTCCTTTTATTTAAAGATCTTCCGGCTCACAAATATGGTGATCCTCGGTCAACCATATATATATATATGGAAGTAAGTGGATGCGTGCATATTATGAGTAAATCACTCAATAACAAAACAGATATGGAGAATATTACGTATTGCAATGAATATATATATCATCACATATGAGGAGAATATTTTATTCTCTTAATATAAGCATCCAACGGACATTATGTAGCAACAACATTTTTATATAATCAATGATTAGTTCTCTTTAACAAGTTTGAATATGTAACGATCATATAAGTAAGATATTCAAATAAGGTGCTACAGATCATGCAAGCCAAGATACTTTCCAAAATTTATCTTTTAATATAATGACTTTTTAACATTAAGTGGTAAGGAAATATTTACTTAGTGGATCTAAATATGCTACGGTCAATTTATGCAGGATATTTATGTAGCATAAACAATGATTCTTTCCATAAGCTATAAAGCTATATAGGCCAACTCATAAAGGTGAGTGCTTAGTCATACATGGAAAGATATTTAAATTGTGCCACATACATTAAGAATATGCATGATCAATCTAGGCACGTAGATGAGGTATTATCATGCAGGCACATATTAATTTATTCATTATGCACAACAATCAGTCATATAGATCAGAACTAAGTATAGTTCTAATTTTCGTTCCTAATGGAACTGAGAGCAGTTCTGTCCGCCATTCCACCTACATGGTTAGTCATCGACAAAACAACATATTCAACATTAATCTTTGTAATATCATTTTTATATTGTAATGGATTATTTGTGAAATGGGTTTGATAACAAACCGCATACTTTCACAGTACAGTACAAATTTGGCCCCTCCCTTGTAAAAAAAATCTGGATACGCCACTTTTTAAATATGGAAGGAGTGTGAGCATGAGTTCAGTTGTTGTTAAGACGATTCCATGGAGTATTATTTGTTTGTATTATCAATTTTAGTTATCATCGAGCTGCAGATCAGAGTCTCTAGTGTTAGCAACAAGATTAATCTGTGTATGTTACAAACTTATTGTTTGACCATACATGCATAAAGTACACTTTATACGTCGTAGTACATGAACCAAATTGCGTTATATATATTATATTCACTACTACAAGAATGACATACAACGTCGGTTATTTTATGCTTTTAACGTCGGTTCTGGAACCGACGTGTAAGTAAGAGACGTTGTATGTTAGAACCTATAACGTCGGTTATAAAACCGACGTTAAATAATTTTTTTTAATTATGAAATATAATTTACCACGTCGGTTACGCTAAAAAACCGACGTCTGGTGTATTTCTTAGAAATTAAATAAATAGCTTGTTATGTCGGTTTGGTATAATAACCGACGTCTAATGAATTTCTAAAAAACTAAATAAATACCTTTTAACGTCAGTTTCGTAGAATAACCGACGTCGTTTTTCTTTTTTAAAAGTGTATAAAAATTCTTTAACGTCGGTCTTTTTTAATAACTGACGTAATTTGACTCTTTGTTATTCGCTAGGGCCACATTTAACGTCGGTTTTTTGAAAAAACCGTCGTGAATGTTTTTTTAACATCCTAGAGAAAAGAAAACGTATTGTTCCGAGAATCTGCTATTATATGCTAATATCATGGTGAAGCAGTTTTCAAGCTTCCACAACATTGAAACCATCACATGTACTGAAAATGTATTATATAAAATATCACAAAAATGACAACCAAGTCATACAATCTAGTCTCAAATATTACATACGGTTCAAACACCAACATACATTTGGAACTACGTTCAAAGACCAATATAAGTTCTGAAATAAACTGCAGTCAGTACTCATAAGCTACATGACACCATTATATTATAAGTTATGAATTGAATTAAAGTTCAATGCCACAACTCATAAGCTACATTTGCACACCGCTTTACACCACATCGCTCTTACAAAATCCAAATCACCTTGTGTGTATTTTTGATCACGATCGAACATCTACAAAATATAATTAAAATGGGGCGTTAATTAGAAATATTAGTTATTTGAAGATACATATTACTGAAAAATTACCTTGCTCATCGAGACTTTTTTTGTCTTGGAAGAGATAATGTCATACATGAACCTCATCACATAATAACCGCACTCGACATTTCTCACTTGCTTTGGGCACTATATTAGAATCAGATAAACATAAAGTACATAACTAAAAAATAACTAAGGTATTTAAATATAAAAAAGCTTACCGGACAAATAACCCATTTTGTTGTGCTGTAACGATTTGCAGAAGTTCTACCTTTTAGCGCAGCTTGTTTGAATGACCTATATATAGATTTATACCGGAGAAGACTATAAGACGCATAAGGTATCATGTACGACAAAATAAAATCAGATAAACGTACGATCAACACTAAAAACCTAAGCATATCTCAATCAACATAAATAAAGGTAAATAATAAAATAGGAAAACTAATTAAACCAAATAACGTACACTTCTATTATTTGCTTGATGTCCTGAGACGGTTGACTATCAATTGAGTCAAACCAAAATGCCTCGTACGAGCTTGGACAAATAACACATAACGTCCAATGGCAACTGTATAAATTAAAATAAATGTTTGCCATATGTATATTAATAGCAATTTTACTTATTCATAAAAATGAACTATAAAGCTATCATAAGTGTATTTTGTATGTCTACAAAAAAGGACATACCTCTCATAATATGGGGCAAGATAATACTTTTTTGTTCCTCTCAAAAAAGTGCTAGAAAGGTAAGCAATCTTGTCATTGTCATCTGTCTTTTGTTGTACCATATTTGGACACAAGAGACCAAACATTTTATTTGCTTTCAAGTCAAGCTGCTGATACAGACATCTATTATATGAAAAAGAGCTTTTATTAACACACTAAAGAGACCACATTCTAAGCTCAGCTCAAATCTATCAAATAAAAAACACAGACTTTGAGGTTCGTATAGACAATTTCCTATTCTCTTCTCCCTGTGCGCCACTTCAAACTTAGCAATTACAAAAGTAATAATATTACAAACATTGCAATAAGTAAATTAAATCTCAATGGCATACTTCGCACAATATTCAACAATAAACACCAACACACAAAATCAGCAATATATAACCTAAACAACACTACTTCTTAATTGGAAATCACAAATCTTTTAATCAAGTAAGTAACTTACATGCAAAATAGTGTGACTGCACAAATATCCAGACTCTCCATCTTCAGAAAGCGCACGATCTCTTCCTGACAAATTTGAAATCCATATTGCATCCCAACGATGTCAGCATCCACATTTACATCAATGACCTCACCGGCGTGCAATCCAATTGCAATTGTTTTTGCCAACTGAAACTCTCTAGACATGCCACTTACATCCACAGATGAAGGACAATTGGGATCCAAGGATGACATTTCTAACCCTTTGCCTTTTTGAACTCCTCGTTGGTGCACCTTAGTAATTCCAAATGTTTGTATTTGTAAATTTAAATAACATTTTTTTTATAATAAAAAAAATAGATATACAACACACCTCAGTTTCAGTTTCCAACTCTACCAAAACTTTCGGCCAAGCAATAAATTGAGAAAGTGCATCTTCCACTTTCTGTACCTCGTCATCCGGGTAAGGTACCCTCGCACCAGGAATAATTACCTTTTCAACAACTATGCGCACATTATCATTAGACAGTGGTTTGTTGTGTAGCAGCCCTCCTGACTTGTATGCTCTCCCGTATGCTACAACACGTTTAGTAGGGTCCTTCAAATAGCATATACATTTTTCTCCTGTCTACATTATAAAACAAAACATTAAAGTTAAAAAAGGGTCAGCCCTATAGTGTAGGGGTATTTATGTTCCTTTTCCCTATTTTGAAACTGTAAAATAATATAGTAGTGACATACCAAAGGTATTAGTTCAAACGGGTCTGGACAGCTAGCTTTTTCACTCTTCGGAGGATCTGCATTTAAACCTACAGTTTGACCGGAGCTAAATGATGCAGAACCGCCATTATGCGACATCATAGTTTGCATCATCTCTTCCATTTTTGTTGCATGGCTTGCATCATGCCCATTCGGGACTCAAATGTTTTAGCGGCTCTAAACTCTGCATCTGCTACTGCTTTGCTAACCATCTGTTGAACATTCTCTGCAGAAAGGTGTTTCTCATCACTTCGTGACTTCCGACCAAAATATTCAGTTATAGTAGCTTCTCCTCCTACGCCTCTAACTCGACCGGGATGTTCACTCTTTTCCAACGAAGCACTCAGAATATCATTCCTCCCACATTCAGTAAATTCTCCAATGGAAGCTTGATGTTCAAAAGAATCCTATAATGATTTCGATGAAAAAGTTGGTCATATTCAAACAATGAAAAATTCAATATCCACATATAATTGAGCCCCAGCAATGAGTTGAAATTATAATAGTATTTACTTTACTACTTACAATTTTCTCTGCAACTTCTCTGCTCTCCTCTGTCATAAACTGTCCATCTTTACCTATTCGACCTCCCTTCCATAATATGTGTCTCGGTATACGAGTTATAGGGGTACACACAAAAGATGGATCCGAAATCGCAGCGAGTTCTTGTTCTTGTTGTTTTTTCTTTATGAGGTCTTGTTCCAACATGTAGTAACCTCCTCGTGACAATCGATGCTTGTAAACATTTTGGAGTTGAAGCTCTTTACCTTTGTCACTCAGATGCTACACAAAAACATATACAGTTAATATCATCAAATGCATATCCAACATTTATAAAATTTAGATAGCAATTACAGTAATACGCTTGGTGACTGTTAGGTTATTGAGCACATATAAGCTTGGTTTCACATTATGTTATACAGAAATGCAGCTTGGTTTCACATATAAGCTAATCAAAACAATAATACTTCTGTAATTTTATTCATTTACCCGAAACTCTGGATCGCGACGGCTTTCAACAAACTTACTCCATTGCTCTTCAGTGATCCAATTGTATTTCTTGAGAGGGTCTTCGTTTTTTTTCTTCCCGTACACATACTTGGTACTTAGCTTCGACTTGAAGTCTTTCCATGCCTTATTAGCTATTTTCAGCATCCGTTTTCTAACACTCTTGGTATCAGGAATCTCAAAAACAATCTATGATAACAAAAACATATAACACATTAGATCTTGGTGATTTGAATTGTGCGTAGTATTATTTTAATGCATTAATAACTATATATTAGGGATAGGTATTACCTGAATATCTTCCCAAATTAGATCCTTTGAAACTTTTGAAACTCGCCTCCAGTTCGCAATATTGATGTCTACATTGTTTCGTCCCAAATATCCAACAAAACTGATTAGCTTGGGTCTATTCGGACCAATAGGATTATTAGACTCATCGAATTGGACAAAAATCTTTTCATTAGCACATGCACGTTTAAGCACACACTTCTTCATCAATGTGACACCCCTCTTTTTATCATTTTGGGTAGTGGAAGCATCTTCGTGTTCTTGAGAATCCATTGGCAGTGAAGAAATGTAACTGCTGCAGAAAAAATAACAATAAAAATATGACATTTTACAGAAAAATCTTAATTCTCATGCACATTTTATATAACAACAGTTAAAAAAAGAGTTCAAAATGTTGCTAAATCTTAAACAAAATGGACTGAGAAAAGTTATAATGGTGACAAAAAATATTAAGCAATCTCAATACAGAAGTTTTTTAGTATAGACCTATGCATAAAAAAATCAATCCTCCCATAAGCCTTCTTCATGATCACTTCGAACAGCATGTACTTCATCAATCTCGTTTTCTACGTTGATAGGTAATAACGTCGAAGAAAAAGGAGGTATCTCCTCCATATCAAAATTTGCATCTTCACACGCATCTGTAATGAGTTATCTCTTGCCATGTAAAACAACTGACCACTTCTTATCACAGGGATCACTCACATAAAAGACTTGCTTTGCCTGAGAGGTCATTATGAAGCGCTCATCTTTATGACCTTCTCTACTTAGATCAACAAGTGTGAAGCCCAAATCATCAACCTTCACACCATGATTACTGTCAACCCATTTACAACGGAAGACCGACACTCTGAATTGTGTATAGTCAATGCTCCATATTTCTTCAATGATGTCGAAGTACGACATTTGTGCCAATACCGGGTTTTTATCTTTAGAACTACTAAAGTGCATTGCATTGGCGACCAAAGTGACTCCACTGTTCTGCGAAGTACTCTTTTCATCTTGTGACTTTGTGTAAAATGAAAATCCATTACAATCAAATCCACCATGACATATCACCTCCATGCTAGGACCGCGAGCTAAAAAACGTATATCCCCACTCGCATTATCATCATCAAGAATTTTATTGTAGAAATTGATCAACCCCCTCGGCATATTTATTTCCCGTGCGCGGTGTCGTTATCCAACTTTTATCCATTTAATAAATCCTAAAATGATTAAAAAATGAGCTTCCATATATAAAATACTAACACACTGGAAAATCAAAACTCAAACAATCAAACATGTTTCAAAAGGAAAGATTCAAAAATAGGCACATCAACCGCAAATTATGCTCTTCAAAAATAGACACATCAAACATTTTTAGGGGCACTGATCTCATCTAACACAGGCAGCATATCATCTAACACAGGCAACATATCATGTGCAAATGTGTCAATGCAATTCAAGACTGAAAGCAATATATTGTATAGTACTTGGATACGAATAATAAATAACATCTAGAGCCATGTCGATAAAAATGTCAGTATGGTGCAGTTCAAATAAAGTCAAACGATCACGGAATGTTTTCACTTCTAGATATTTTTGGTTCAGTTTGGGACATGAGGACATCCAACACCTATACTCAGCCCTAAACACTTATGACACTACTATCACATTACTTCTACTAATAAGTAATAATACAATAAAACATCTATACCATAACACTCCATATATGATTAACCTGTACTTTGTTATACAAAAAAAAACATCCAAACTTAGTAGAGTTGTAAGGTGAAAAGCATGTAAATTGTATGGAGCACTAGCTAATTCCTGGTAAATATACATCTCTAAGGAATTGGCTTTTTAGGTGTTTTAATTGCTCCTATCATTCCACAAAAGTAAATAACCTCAATCAGGTAACTGGAAAATAAGCATCTATAGGGAATTTCAAAATTACAGAAAACAAGCTTCAAATCCAAAGGTCTGAATAATAAAAAGAAAGATCAAAATGCAGTGAAAAGTGGAACAAATTCAACACACAAGATAAACACACAAACCAAAGTGGACACCTGCAAAATGAATGTGCATCGTAGGTAGACGATAGGCAACATTTTATAGAAGTATGAAAGGATCGAAAGACTATTAAATAGAATATCAAGTAGTTCAATGAAAAAAGTTTAATGCAAAATCATTTGAGGATAAAACGGCCAAATATTTTTATGATGAAATTTACACTTTTATGATGCACACAAATTATAGTTTAAAATAAAATCAGAAAGTCACACACAATAAAATCTGAAAGTCACACACAAATTTCATTCCTCTCACCAAGGAGCTCATTGGTATGCCGTAGTTTATTTCATTTTATCTCTTTCGTAAGTCAAATATTAGGTGTATTATCGTATATATGAACTATGAAGCATATGAGGCGCTCCAGCCACTCCTAAGGTCATTAGTTCTCTAGTTCACAAGTGTATTTGTCACTTTAGTTTGGCTGGTTTATGGTTGTTCATATGTATGTTTACAAGTCTAATATTATATATATATATATATATATATATATATATATATATATATATATAACACTGAAATAGCTTTTTTAGACAGCCTTAGTCTTTGACTCTTTGTACAAGGGTTTGTAACTAAAATTACAAGAAAATATAAAGCTGATTTGCAAGCCAGAAACTCCACCCTCTGTTTTGTTTGTAAGCAGCACTTCCTCTATGGTGGCAGCCCAGCTAAAGCTTCAAGTTGCACTTGTTTTTGCAATTTTGCTCAACTTCTTAATTATTTTAACATATTTGGTTTAATGATGGGAAATGCAAAATTTTGATGAACCACATGGACAGTTTGCAAATCTTAAACTTTTAATGAGCACTCTGAAATTGGCATCCAAAAATTAAGTTTATCATAGACTTTCTCATTTGTTCAACCATTCGTTTGATCACTTTTGTTATTATAACCGAAATCTAATGACACTTTCAATATACACTCAGCATTCCTAGGGTGAGACAAAAGTTTAGATTTCATTTCCCTTCAATTATCTGATAGTTCTAAGTAATTGAAGTTGATGGCTTGTTCTCGCCTTGGAGATATATAACCTCACTGTCAAGATCAACAAGCATCTAGATTAGAAATTACTGTTGCACTGTTAAATTTGGAACTATGGATTGAACTAATTGTACTATTCTAAGCTCCAGTTTTTTACTTTTTGGGCAATTGAACTTTTATGTATCAATAAAGCATAACTTCTTACAATTCTGAATTTTTTATTTTAAATTCGATGGTTATTTCAATTGGGATTACAGTTTGTGGTGTATTTTATTTTATTTTTGCGGAAATCGGGAGTTTAGTTTTTTTAAGAACCGATAAATGCTAAGAACCGAACCGTTAACAATTGGTTCGGTTCCATAACAGTTCTAGATTTTTTTGTTTGGAACCAAACCGATATCATGAATTGTGATTTTCTAAACGGTTCTTCCCATTTATAAGAGGAACCGAACCTATCCCAGCCCTAATTTTACAAGGCTTTCTTTTAACACAATATACTCTCATACGATAAGGCTGGTTTGGTTTATTTGATAAGCTTGGTTTATTTGTATAATCTGTTTTGAATTTGCCTAAAAAAATCTCTTTATAAAAAAAGTCAATAGAAGAAACCTGCTGCAGTGACTTCTTCCACGCAGGTCTGGATTTAAGGTCACAGCTGAAAAAGAAACGAACTCATTAGCTTCTTCAACGGGAATCGTAGATGTACGTACAGATTTGAAAAAAAATGAAGTCGCCGCTGCAAATTGAACCTGCTATCAGAGCTTCTTGGGCAGGAATCGCAGCAACCAGAAGAGGCGCCCTCATCATCGGTAAAAAACAAAAAAAACGCAGCTATTGATGGACAAATTGAGAAAAGGAGAGAACTTACCAGGTTCCGCAGAGAGACCAGAGAGTTGAGGTAGATGAAGTTATGGCGAATTAGAGCAGAGCAGCGGCCAATTATCCATCGAGCAAGAGGTAGACGAAGATCGCTGCGGAGGTTTTGGCGGACGACGTAAATGAAGTTGAGGGTTTTGGGGCTTCTGTAAAGTGCTGGCCTGGGACGGTTTCTAATTTACTTCGTAAAGGGCTGCTGGGGGGACGGTTTCTAATTTTAATGTTTAATTTTAATAATTTTTCTAAGTCGGTTCTTTGCAAACCGACGTTACAAGTATACATTAAAAACCAAAAAATAGCGCTTGTCGTTTTTTCCCAAAGTTTGCAACGTCAGTTTTTTATGAAAAAGACGTAAAATAGTTCCATGTCCCCTACTACGGCGGTTTTTTAAGAACCGTCGTTAAAGGTGTGACGTTGTATGTCATTCTTGTAGTAGTGATTGTTGGAGTTTGGGAGATGAATAATAAGAGGCACAAATTATTTGTAGGGAGGGAATTAAAGGAGAAAATAATTAATCTAGGGAGTATTTATACGTACTACATTTAATAAGAGAAAATTCCCTAAATAGGAGTATAAAAGTTTTGAAATTCCAAAATAGGAGTATCATATTTTTTATTCCTTGAATAGGAGTAAATTTCTGCTAAGTTTGGCATTACTAGACTTTAAAATATGACATTTTTTACCAAACTTGACAGATTACTCCTATTCTGGGAATAAAAAATACGATACTCCTATTTTGGAATTTCAAAACATTTTTGCTCCTATTTAGGGCAATTTCTAATTTAATAAACAAAAGTGAAACATGAAGTATCTAGTCTAGTCTAGTCTAGTATATATACATACAGATGGGAAATTAAATTGATAGAATGAAAACTAAAAAGATAGATATGATTAAACGTGGGTGGCGTGATCTATATATATATATATCTACCTAGCTTAGCTAGGGCTGCGAGTGGAACAAGGTGGGGTGCTCTCCCGCGGGTGGAGTTCGTCTATTCATATAACCGCCGCCGGCGAAGTTAAAAGGTTGATGTTGTTGTGTTGGGCTATCTGGCGGCGTCGCTAACGGGTCACCTTCGAATCCAATCCCCACATACTGTTGCACCACCAGAACGGATACAGTGGATGCGAAGTCCGAGGATGCGAGTAAATCCCCGATGGCGCCGAGCTCCGGGCACTCACTCCAGTCGGTCAAGCCCGCAGTCAACGGAGACACACTGCCCTGCCCTCTTCCCACTATGAACAAGTCATGCACATTATTGTCTATGGACCGAATGGCGGCCACCGTTTCCTCCCCGTGGTTCACAGCGACCTCGGTGTACGCAACCGTCTCGTCATTCTCCGTCCTCATCCGGAACTGCTTAACATGCTCCTCGTCCACTTGCTTCTCTTTATCGCAATCTGTGACCACGGTCAGCACCGCGGAGTTAGTGGTATGCACAGCCCGACCGCTGCCGCTCTCTCCAGCTGATGTAGCGTCGCCATGAAGAAACCGCATCACAGTCAGACTAATCCCCGGGTGCTCACTCATTCTCATCCCGTAAGCTAACGCCTCACGATCATCTGGCCCCCCGAAGAATAAAACGACGATGTGGTGTGCAACCTGCATGGGAGAGGCCAACCTGGTGGAGCCGCTGAAACCACGGTCGACGAGGATTCCGACGGAGCAAGGAGCATTGGCGAGGACGTTCTGGTTGATGGCACGGAATGCCGGATTCGTGGACTCCATGCCTCCATCAACGGTTTGCTGCTTGTGAAAGGGGATGATAACGATAGCAACCCGTTTGTCCTCAGCGAACCCACATATGTCTTCATGCATGGTGGAGTAGGGGGAGATGACGGTGAGGGGCTGCACCGACACGCACCCCGCATGCTGCTCGAAGTTCTCGAAGGCGTTGATGATGTGGTCCGATTGCGCCTGGGTGCGGTTCAGGGCGGGGCGCCCGGCCGATTTGCGGGTGTTGTGCACGATGAGCATGGCGGAGGCCCGGCCCGTGAGCTCCACCAGGTGGCAGACGTAGACGCATATCGGGGACTTCTTAGTGGGGTGGGAGGCCTCCAACAGGTTGATGATCGTCGGGACGTTCCTCGGGGTGTGGATGCAAACCAGGACCCTGAATTCGCTGTCCGCCTTCGTCTTCTCGACGCTCCTTCTTTTGTACGGCGCGAACTTTCTTGCGGGCTTGTAGATTGTTGTCACCACCGGACTGATTATGGCTGTCATCAGCACTGCCACCACTATCATGATTGCGAATGACTCGGTGTCCAACACCTTCTGGTCCTTCCCCACGTTCAGTACGATCATCTCAATCAGGCCTTTGGCATTCATGAGCAGCCCGAGCGTGAGCCCTTCATTGAATGCCATTTTGTAGTAGAGTGCCACCAGAAGCGTCCCCGCGACTTTCCCCACGCAGGCAAGCACGATCACCACTCCCAGAATGGACCACGTCCCCACTCCTTTTATGGCCCCTATCTCTGTCTTCAGCCCACTGCTCGCAAAGAAGAGCGGCAAAAGAAGCCCCGACACGAAATCCTCCAACCGCTCGATCAGGGTCACGCCAAGCGACCCGTTTGGAATCACCAGTCCGAACACAAACGCGCCGAACACAGAATGTGTCCCAATAGCATCTGTGATGAAGCCGGATATCATGACCCCTGTAAGGATGAGGCATATGTAGAAATCGCTGATTGGCTCCCCTTCTGGAGTTTGCCTCACCACCCACTCTATGAATGGCCTCACTACGTATACGCACACGCACACGAAGGCCACACTCGAGAGTAGAACCCAAATGGAAGCTAACGTCATGGTCTCATTCTCGGCTAAGGCGATGGTGAAGGCCAGCAGTATCCACGCGCACACATCATTGATGAGCGCGGCAGACATGGCGATCTTGCCGATTTCTGTGTTAAGCAGCTTCAGCTCTGCTAGTATGCGAGCGAGGACAGGGAAGGCGGTGATGGAGAGGGCAACGCCGAGGAAGAGGATGAATGTTCCTTGTTTCATGACTTGGGAGCCGCGGTGCAATGTGAAGGAGAAGGAGACGCCAATGAGAAAGGGTAGGACCATGCCCGCGATGGCAATGGCCAAGGCCTTTTTCCCGGTGCGGCGAATGACGCTGAGGTCCATCTCCAATCCCACGAGGAAGAGGAAGTATAGAAGCCCCAAGTTGGCCATTGTCTCAAGAACCATCACACTTCTTAGAGGGAAAACGGTCAAGGCAAATGTGTCGCTTCTTCCCAGCACGGATGGACCTAAAATGATACCGCCCTGCATCGATCAATGCACATATATATATTGTATATATGAGTCGGTCATTCCATGAGTATGTAATGAAAAACGGAATAATTGATTACGAGAATTTCAGCGATGACGCGAGGCTGGCGAAAGGGCTTCAAGATGAAAACCAGAAGGCGAGTTGTGACAACGACCAAAGTCAACTGAAGAATGAAGAGAGGGAGGGAGTAATCCAAAGGGTTGTCACCCTGCCATATCCCATGCGTCGTGATCATCGTCGGCGCGTAACATACTATCGTCTCCTCCGTCCTGTTCCCCTGCGACACCACTATGTCCGTCATTTCTTGAATCCCGCCCGCCGCAACTACTGATCATTTGCATTTATCTACCCTAGCTACCTATATATTCCACCGCCACCTCTCTAACAACGTACATGCATTTCTCATCTTCACAAACATAGAATTGAAAGAAATTTTGTTTGTTATTTTCTTGTGGTTGATATGATCCACCACCCTTTTGGCCGGTGGTTGCATGCATATTCTATGGCCAAAACTTCACTACCAAAATATATAATCACATTCTCAACTTACTTTATTTCCGTTTGTCACACCACTTCTACGTTATTGAAATCACACACACACATATATGAATAGCTAGGAGTGAATGTTTTTTATTCCTTAAATGTTTGATTAAACATTACTTATTCAAGGATAATTCATGTATATTTAATTGCCGCATAATTCACTTGCATAACCAAGGATAGTTCCTTGGTGGCGCTAGCTAGTCCAGTGGTGGTATGTAGCAAACTGGCGACGGCAATATGGTAGCAATAGATTTCTAGCGACCCGTGTGGCCGGCGGTGCTCCAACGTAACGAACAGTAGGCGGTGGCAGCAGGTTTGCTGGGGTATTTTTGTCTATACATACATAAAATTCTTTGGCCATATCAATAAATATGGATTGACGTACTTGGATTTAATTTCAAGAACTAGGAAACGTAGCTTCTTCTAAATAAAAACCTTTTAAATATTTCATACCTTCTTATCACTCACTATGATAAAAAGTCAAGTCTAAATATTTTGAGGGTTATCGATTTATCATTAGTTTCCAAGTCAGAGTTGGTGAGAATGTCACTTAGTTTATGATAAAAATAATATTGGGGAAATTTTCAGACTAAAACACAGAGTTTCCAAAAATATGGCTAGCTTTATTTTTAGACATTCGCAAATTATACCGTGGGATCGGTCCACCATGAGCATGGTGTGCCGATCCCAAAACGGTACAGTTTTATGCTTCCTATTAAAAAAAAGAGCAAATCATCGGATCCCCTTCATCTCCTTCATTGTTTCATCTCACCATGGAACTCCGCCGCATGTGAGACAAGAGGTTTCGCCGTCGCCCCACGGCCTTCCCTGAAATTGGTTGCACCGATGTAAAGATTACGTCTATTGCTAGTGCAGGCGCTATGAGCATCTCAACGTCATCCTTCTGCGGATTGAAGTAAACATCGGCGATATGGGGCTATCCCTTATTTCTGAAGTTGCAGGTGTGTATTTTGGATCTGGAGTCCGTATGTGTGGGCCAATATAATGACTTCAAGCTAATTTTTTGTTTTAATCTATATGTATAATAGTAATAATGTTTTTAATATGAAAGTTCAGATTCTAATGATGAAGACTCACCTTCTTACATCTTACTCACACTCAAGTTACACCGGTATTTGCCTAAAGTTACATATCTATTAGCGTAAGTTACATGTCAACTTTCTTCATCAAGTTACATCTCGCTTACATGTAATTTACATTTTTCATAATGCGAGTTACATCAAAATACATTGCGAGTTACACAACACAATAAGCTCTGTTATTAAAAAAAATTCATAAAAAACATTTTTATAGATCTAATATTAAAAACAAAACATATACAATATTTATGTAAAATAATTGGGCAATTCGACTTCTTTTTTCATTATTTACATTGAAATCAATATTTTATTTTTTATACTATGTATTTTGACAAGTTACATTTCGAACGGACATGAGTTACATTGATCAATAACGTGACTTACATATCTTTACACGCGAGTTACATCATTCATGCTACTGGGACAAAAGGAAAAAAATAGGACGCGTGTATTGTTCACGCGTGTACTGTTCACGCGAATTTTTTTAAAAAAAATTGGATAAAACTGCGTCGTTTTGAAAGTGGAGCACCATGTTCACCGTGGGATGGTCCCACAGTATACGAACTGTTAGACATTCATATGATTAATCAGCAACAAACAATTCTCGTTGTTTTTAAAATGTTGAATGACGAAAATACTCTTATTTAAAATATATAAATTTTGCACTACTTTCGTGCAATTAAAAATAATGCACTTTATACTACAGTTACTACACGACATTACTGGATATGCGGTAATAATCACTACATTTCCACCAATATAATTTTTTTGGGTCCGCCCTGATCATAAGCAAGGATCGGAGCTATGTACTAAATTAATTGGATATTAAAATATTGTACCAATATCGAGGTAACTCTCTACATTATGTTCCAAAATTCAAATTATAAGTATTTCTAAACAAGAGTTAACTTCAGAGCCTTAAAAAAACCGTGAGCGCGCAATTTTCAGCCCATTGAGCCCAAACTTGATCAATCAGTATAAATAGATTGTGGTAATTACCCGGTTGATGTATTTTCAGCCCATTGAGCCCAAACTTGATCTCTATTTCATTTGTAGCTCAAGATATTATTCTTTTCATCATTAACTTTTGTTTTTTCACTTTAATCTTTTTATTTCAAAAACAACTCATTACGGAGTACTTAAAACTAAAGCCTAAGAATCCTAGTGTACTGAATTCAATCGCCCTCCAAACTTCCACCCCGAACCGTCCTTTGCCACCTCTCCGCCGTAGAAGCAATTGAGAAGGAGCTACAGCTTGGAGACGAAATCTCCAGCCTCGCCCTCATTCACGCACAGAGACTCAATGAATTCCTGGCTCTGGCAGTTGTAATCGCTGCTTCGGTAGCTATAATCGATAGATCAGGCGCTTTTGATTCAATTGTCGATGAGCTTGATTTTGTCGTTGCAGGAGGCGGAGAAGGCGGGGTGGTCATCAGTTCTAGACTCCTGGAGTATATCATGAGGATGTTGTTGCAGAGGATGAACTGCTGGGTGCGGTTCTAGCTTTGAGTTCAATGTATGCGTCATATCCGGTCACCTCTTATCCTTAGAGCTCCAAGGTATTGTTAAAAAAATTAAATCAATCGTGGTATCATCCAAACCGCTGCAGCCGCTATTTTTGACCATAGAATTCCAAGCTGCTATAGTTTCTTAGTTATTAAGTTCCTTAGGTATTAAGTTCCTTTTATATTAAGCTTTCATTATTATGTTAATTTCCTTTCCTTATATAAGGATCATAGCTATCTCAGTGTGTCTTCCTTTCTTTTCCTTCGTAGTGTGTATGTTTGGAGGTTTAGTCAGAATTGATATCAGGTATGTTTCAACTCATTCAAAACAAAATGCTTATGTAGGCATTATTTGATGATTTTTTTTTCAATAATGATAGCTGGGTGAATAAGACTTGACCTACGAATACAATAAATAGAAATGGCAACCCACAAAAGTCATGTGAGCAGTGTGGATGCATCAGAGGGTGACTTGACAGAGCTCTTGTGGGATTAGGTACATTACTAAATACTGACTATTTTTATGACCAATCTTATGTTATATTTTAAGGGAAAATTCATGCAATTACTCATTAGCTCTTGTGATGTTTGTATGTGGTAATGGCTAGTATAATTTTTGGTTGTTTTTATTTTCTCCTGGAATTTGGAGGAACAAAGTGCTCTATTGCTATGAATTCTTTAAGCGATTTGCATGTTTTTTTTGTTCTTGATGGTCGCTATGTTGGATCTTAACTTTAGATTAACTTTTTTGAAACTATTGGGAGCCATTCACTGTTTCGAGTGAGTTCAAGGGGATGGGGGTTACTGTTGCTCATTATTTCTTGTATAATTCACTACTTTGTTATGGTTGAGTTATTATTCACTTGAAAGATTGGTATTTTGCAGGGAGGAAGTGTCACCAAAGAGCATCGAGAAGGAAAAGTAATGACATATGAATCACATGTACGGGTGAGATAGCAAAGAAGGAATGATAAGAAGCAAGACCAAATACTATATTAGATAAATGTACTAAATTGGAACAATAGATTGAATTCTATATCTGTTGTGATATTTTTATGTATCGTTTGTTTCTTTTTGTTGTATCACATGTATTGCTTTTTGTTGCATCATGTTGCATTTTGTTGCAACATGTTTCGTTTTGTTTCACTGTGTTTCTTATTATTTTGCACTGGTGATTTAAATTTTTATGCTTATTTAAGTTTCAATTTATCTTTTCTACTTCTTCCTTCATACATAAATTTCTATATAATATTAAATACGAACACCTAAAGTTAAAAATTATGATTTATGAATATAAACAACTAGAAACATAAAGAAACAATAAGAAACAAAAAATTATGAGTTATAAACAAAAAGAAACAATAGGAAACAAAAACTAAAAATAAAACAATAATGGTAATTTTTAAAAAATTAAGTCCTTTAAGAAATACGGAGTAATACATTACAAATTTCATATTTTTCAATTTATTTCAATTTTTAATATGCTTCAACTTCATTATTTTAGCTTTCCATATTTTTATTTTCCGAGATTTCAAATTTTACTCTTCAAGTTACATTAAATTTCTGTTTTTTTGTAATATTTGTATATCGTATTTTCATTATTGATAAAATTAATTCGATTTTTTGAATATTTTGAAATATATATATATTTATGTGATTCTTATTTGTCTAATATGTATACTGACGTGCACTTGTCGTGAGGTGCACTCAAAATAAATACAATACAACACTAATACGTAGTATAGCGAAGTAAAGTTCGTATCCACAGGGAAAGGAATACTTTTCTTTTATATAAATAGTAACAAGGGGGTTTAGATTTGTTTGGTTTAAAAACACTAAGATAAACAACCTATATGAGTTTAATTCAATGAGATGAGGACTTGGTTTTGCTTTTATCCACTTAATGAAATGTCCGTCGATCCCGGTTATATCTTTAACCATCTTCCTCTCGAATACTCAATCGAGGAGTATATCCAGTTCATCGAGGGTAGTTATTAATAACGAGATGCATTCATTAATAAAACTTACTATCGAGTCAATATAGAACAAGCGCCGTATATTAACTTGATAGTAGCAATAAACTTAAGATGAAAACGATTGAGATTGATAACCTCAACACAAGCGGTTTATTGGTTTAATCAATATAATTAATTCCCCTTGGCATATTAACCATGAGATGCATGCATTAATATTCCAAGTTTACTACCGTTGAAAGAACCGGATTAATAACAAGCGTATTAACCGATGGATTCTAGTAATAATTAATATGAGAAACAAAACTAGTTGATACTTTAAGTAATGTTTAAAATATTAATATGAAATATAAATAGGAATTAATTAATATTCAAGGAAGAAGATTAAAGAAAATAACTCACAACTTACAAATTCATTAAGCTTAAAAGTAGCAAAACCAAGATGGAAGAGTTTAGCTCCTCATTTGGAGACTAAACATGATGAAAAATATAAAGAAAGAACTATTCTATACTGAGCTTAGATGTACAAAGGAATTGGATATCTTTTTGTGAAGGAAAGGAGGTGTATTTATAGGCTTTTGGGATGGGATTCGGGTACTCGATCGGGTATATACATGGTACCCGATCGAGTATGTGTAATACTCGATCCGAGGTGTACTCGATCGGTTTCAGGCTGTTTTCCATAAGTATACCCGATCGGGTATATGTTTATACCCGGTCGAGTATGCTTAGAAAATGGTATTCGTACCATACTCGACCGATCTTTGCTTAAAACTCAAAGGCATACCCGATCGGGTATAGACATTAAATCGTGGCCGAAATCGTCCCGGCATGTTCCCTTGTCTTCGGATCTGATCCGATTTTAAGTTCCAATCTAATACCCGATCGAGTATAGTTAATACTCGACCGAGTATAGACCAAAATTCAGGATCTTCTTTTGTCTTCAAATTTTTGCACCTTCTTTCCACTCTTTGGGTTCACCAACTGTACTTCGAGTGATCAAGACCTGTTTGAGCTCAGAATATATCTAATCTAAACTATTTACAAGAATTTAACAAACTAATCTATTACACCAAAAGTGTGTAATTTCTATAGTAAATATCAAGCAAAACTAATTAAAAACACAAACATAAATATGGAAATTACAAATGTATCAACTCCCCCACACTTAAACCTTTACTCGTCTCGAGTAAGATCAAATGTTCACAAGTGTCAAGTTTCTCCAAAGTTCCCACAGTTTAACAAAAAAAAAATTACAAACCCAAAGACCACCAAGGATGATAAAAATGAGTTTTAACTCAAATTACAAAGAACATCTTGGGTTTTATGGCCTTCTAGTGTTCATCTTCTCTTCTCCTCCTCTCCTTCTTCTTTGTCTTTGTTTTCTGAATCTTCTTATTCTTCAAAGAGATACAATGAGTGCCTGCAAAAACAAACATTTCTCTCATATCTCTCATTTTGCCTAGGAGCCTTTTCAGGTTTTCATCCTAGCATCTCTTTTCATTTTCCATTCTCCCCACTCACTCATTTTTTTTATAAGCCCTTTTTGCTTAGATTACCCATTTTGTTGGGTTTTCAACCTAACTAGCATTTATTTTCCTTTATTTATTTATTTTTTTGTGTGTAAAAGTTCAAAAGAATTACATGCATAGTGCTAGGTGGGAATAAAAATTACATACCATCATGAGTGTCTCCCCCGCACTTGAATCAAGCACTGTCCCTAGTGTCCGCCTTCTCCGCCGTAGTAGCTCCCTCCGAAGATGATCCCCTGCCCACCATCTCCCATATACGTGTCCCCGCCATCTCCGCCGTCGTACCCTCCACCCCCAGAGCCAGATCCTCCAAAGTTACCTCAATGAGTGGGGTCATACCACGAGGGTGGTGGAGGGGGGTTTGCCATGGTATGGAAGGATCCCTGCTGTGCCATGTAAGAGTACATAGGTCCGTAGAACCTACGTTGGTCTTCTTCATACCGATGTCTATCGGCTTCCCTAAGCTCCTCCAATCGCTGAAAACCGGCCCTTTGCTCCTCCTGTATTTGGTTGAGCCGGTTGTCCATAGCCGTGTAGTTTGCGTTCAATTAGGCGTACCCCGTAAGCAGTTGTTGTTGACCATCCAGAAGTTGTTGAAAGAAGTCGGGTGACGAGCACTTTTGTCAAGGTGCGTCAAAATAATTTTCAATACTAACACTTTATACGTAATATAGCGTAGTAGAGTTCGTATCCACAGGGAAAGGTATAATTCTCTTTTTATGAACTTAATGAATAAAAAGGGGGGTTTTGGTTTGAGTGATTTAATTTAATTAAAAACTAAGATGAACAACCTATATGTGTTTAATTCAAGAATAAAAGGGACTTGGCTTTGCTACTTTCCACTTGTTGATATATTTTAGTCGATCCTTGTTATATCTATAACTTATCCCCTCTCGAATACTCAATCGAGGAGTATCTCCAATTCATCGAGGGTAGTTATTAACAACGACCGTTCATTAATAACCCTTACTATTAATCAAATATAGAACAACGCCTTATACCGATATAATAGTCGCATTCAATCTTTTTAACTCCTTGATGAAATCAATTGAGATTGATAACCTTAACACAACGGTTTCGGTTTAACCAACAAAATTGATCCCTCTTAAGTCTATTAACCACGACCGTGCATTAATAAACCGAAGTTACTTACTTGTGAAACCACCAACGATTAACCATCGGTTCGTTGATCGTTTCTAGTAGTAATTAATGTCGGAACGTTAACTAATCGTCACTTAGCAACCCTCCAACATTAATATAGAATGAGATTAAGGGAAGAATTAATAATCAAGAGAAGAAGTTAAGAAAATAACTCACAACTTTAATAATCAACAAGCTTCAAGAGCAAAACCAAGAATGGAAGTTTAGCTCCTCATTTGGAGGCTAAACATAGCTAGAAAAATATAAAGAAATGCTATTCTAAGCTGAGCTAAAGAGATTGGAAGAAGGGATGATGAAATGTGAAGGAAAATGGGGCTATTTATAGGTGTTTTCAACACCTAATGCCGGATACCCGGCCGGGTATTTTGACATACCCGACCGGGTATTTACCAAATCAAATATTTCCCCATGTTTTTGTGTCTTCTGCACGTTCTTTGGTCCGAAATCACAGAATACCCGACCGGGTATATGGAATACCCGACCGGGTATTTGCTAGTTTGCAGCAGTTTCCTTTGTCACTTCATACCCGGCCGGGTAAAATCCATACCCGACCGGGTTTTGCACAAAACTCAGGTTTCTTCATCCTTTTTGCTTCCAAACCTATCCTAAACTTATAGCTCAACTAACTACAACTTACAACAAACAATAAAATGCTAAAAATACGATTACAATCAAATGCAAACTAACAACTATAAACTTGCACAAAACTAGTAAATAAACATTACAAACAATAATAAAAATGTATACTTAGGCACTGACAACTAGTGCCTATCAAACACCCCCACACTTGAACCTTTACTCGTCTCGAGGAAAACAAATCATGTCCATGAAGTTTCCAACCCAACAATTGTAGCAATTACAACCATTCACAAGTGTTTTTGAAAATCAACATAAAAGAATGTTTCAATGATCAAAACACATGAATAAAAGGTCTTCACCATCATTGGGTTTCTCTTCTTTTGCTCCTTATGTGTACCCTTAGGATCCTGCAAATACAAAAGAAATACTTTCTCTCATTCTCTCATTTTGCCTAGGTGCCCTTTCGGGTTTTCATCCCAGCTTTCCACATTTTCCTTTTTAATTCTCCCCAACTCACTCTTCTTTTTTGCTTTTATTTTGCTTAAGTTGCCCTTTTTGGGTTTTCAACCTAACAAGCTTAAATATTTTTTTTTTTTTTTTTGGTTTTTATATAGCAAGAATAAAGAGTATGAAATGGGAGCATACCAGAATAATTCTCCCCCCCCAGCTAGTTAATGGCACTGCCCCTAGTGGCCGCCCGCATCTCCTCCATCAAAGAATCCACCTTGACCATAGTAGCTGTCATGAAAATCTCCTGTATATGGGTATTCCTCATCGTTTGTGTCTGAGCTGCCGTCATATCCGCCATCACCACCTCCGAAATCCCTGTCAACACCATCACCGCCAGCTTGTCCACCTCCTCCGGAGCTAGATCCTCTGAAATTACCCCAATGTGAGGGGTCATACCATGTAGGATGTTGGACTGGAGTGGGCATGTGGGAAAAGTACCCTTGCTGGTCAAAATATGCATACATAGGCCCGAAGGCCCGTCTTTGATCGTCTTCCACCCTTTGGTACGCACTGTAGAGATCGTCAATGCGTGTGTTCATTGCCGTTTGGTTAAGATTGAGTTGTTGTATACCAGCCAGCATTTGTTGTTCAAAGGGGGTGTATTGAGGGGGTTGGGGATCGGGTTGTGGCTCTTCTTGTGGTTGTTCGGGGCTGGGTGGTGGCTCAAGTTGAGGAATGTCATAAAGATAGTGGTCAGGGGTAGTTCCTGGTAGGCAAAGATGTCTCCTATCCCCGAGTTGATGGTTAAAGATGTTTGGAAGTTCATCGGAGGGGATTGTAAAAAATTGTGTGGGTGAGGGGTTAATGGTCCAATGGTAAAATGCTGTGGTCCCAATGGTGTGGGAGTGACTCACGTCATGTGCAGTGAGTAGGAACTTAAGATTAAGGAAATTCCAATCTTGAACTTGTCTATTTGCACAATAGCCAAATTTGGTACATATATGATGTATGTATCCTCCTATGAAAATTTCACCCATAGCTTCACATTCCTTTTTTAAATGGTCCCACAAAATTGAAGCAAGATCTAATCTAGGAGCTTCTGGGAAGATACCCATAGCAAGAACGGCCAATTCACTAATCCTTGTTTGATGATTATTTGGCTTCCCAAAGACATGATACCCAAACCATTTTAGTGCGATTCGAAGGGCAGGGTGTTGAACATGTGTAATATGCATATGTGAAGATTTAAACACCCTAACCCCTGTCATTCTTCGCCACAAATCATGCACAATGGTCTTATCACTTCTTACCTTTCTTTCCTCCACACCTAAAACCGGTAGACCAAATAGCTCGGCAAACTCACGTTTCGTTAAAGTTCTTGGTATGTTGTTATACCGAAACGTGAGTTTGCTCTCATAGGTGTCCTCTTTATCCTCAGTAAATTCAACCGATGCTAGGAACTCATACATAATTCTTGTGTAGATATTATAGGACATGTGGAACAATGTAGTAAGTCCTATGTTGTTGCACAATTCTAGCATCATATCATACAACATCAATGCTCGTAATGTTTCATGACAAAGAAATCGTGTGGAATGTACCTCTCGGTTGAGTTGGGTGAGGAATTTCTTGTGATGAGCCCTAGACGTGAATTCGATGCTTTCATACCCCGGAACTTGTGGAATTGGAGCACTTGAATTGGAGGAAGATGCTCTAGTCCTTTTAGGTGCCATAGTTAACTTTTTCTTGGACTTTGGGGTTGGATTTTCGGACTTGGGGCTTGGTGGAGTGAAAAATGTGGATTTTTTGGGAATTGGGTGTTTTTGAGGGTGTGGAGGTGTAGAGAATGATGTGGGGAAGAAGAAATGAGGTTAGGTTTGGGTTAATTTGAGGGAAAATCGGACCTTGAGGATTTGGGTATAGGGTTTTTCGGATTTGGGGATTTTGGGGTGTTTGGTGTTTTTTGTGGGTGTAGAAATGGAGAGGATGATGTGGGGAAGAAGAAAATGGAGTTTATTTGGGATTTAGATGGATGATTGGGATGGATTGGGAGTTTGGGACTTTTGGCTATGGAGGTTTGGGGGTTTTTTTGTTTGGGAGAGAAGAAGAAGATGGAGGTTGGGGGAGGATTTGGGGAAGAAATCCTGTAAAGAAGCCTCTTTCGCACAAATACCCGGCCGGGTACTCCTGATACCCGAATGGGTATTCTATTTCACGTAGGCAGATGCCTTTTTGGCTAAATACCCGGTCGGGTTTTTGTAATACCCGGTCGGGTATTAGGCTATTTTTTTGCCTTTTCCTTTATTTTTACCCGGCCGGTTTTCTTGTAATACCCGAATGGGTTTTTGTTTTTCTGGAAGGCAGAATGTTTTTTTGCTGAATACCCGGTCGGGTTTTTGTAATACCCGGTCGGGTATTAGGCTATTTCACACCGTTTTTAAATTTTTTGATGCCCGGCCGGTTTTTTGGTTGATACCCGAATGGGTATGCTTGACAGTAGCTCCCAGGGGTGAAAAAAATACCAAAACCCGGTCGGGTTGTCTACATACCCGGTCGGGTTTTTATTATTTTTTTTATTTTTCATTTTTACCCGGTGGATGGAATGGCCGGGTATTCTCTTTTTGTGCTAATACCCGACCGGGTTTGGGAATACCCGGGCGGGTTTTTCTCAAAATTATATATTTTTTTTTTTTGAAAAGATTTTACACACACACTCTACTAAAATAAAAAGAAGAAAAAAAAAAGAAAAAAAGTATACCGTGCATGGGTTGCCTCCCAAGAAGCGCTTTATTTAACGTCGTGGCTCGACGATATCTTCTGATGTTCCTCATTCGTAGACCGGTTCAGAAAGGTCTACGACTTCCACATTTTTGGGTTGAAAACCCTCAAAGAAGGGTTTTAATCTTTGTCCGTTCACTTTCAGTACCTCTCCCGTCTCCAGGTCCTGAATTTCCACCGCCCCGTGTGGATATGTTTTGACCACTTTGTATGGTCCGGTCCAACGGGATCTCAGCTTTCCCGGAAATAGACGAAGGCGTGATTGGAATAGGAGGACTTTTTCATCAAGTTTAAAGTCTTTTCGTATGATCATTTTATCATGCCACTCCTTCGTCTTTCTTTTGTATATTTCTGCATTGTCATAAGAATCCAGGCGAAGTTCTTCCAATTCTTGTAATTGAAGCTTCCTATGTACACCGGCCTCGTCAAGATTGAGGTTGAATTCTTTAACCGCCCAATAAGACTTGTGTTCGAGCTCTACAGGGAGATGACATGCTTTCCCAAACACAAGTCTATAAGGAGACATACCGATTGGGGTTTTGTAAGCAGTTCGGTATGCCCATAGCGCATCATCAATGCGTATACTCCAATCCTTCCTGTTCGGGTTCACTGTTTTCTGGAGTATAGATTTCAACTCCCTGTTTGAGGTCTCCGCTTGGCCATTTGTTTGAGGGTGGTAGGCTGTAGAAATTTTATGAGTCACACCATATTTTTTTAGTAGGGATCCCACAATTTTGTTGCAAAAATGTGTGCCTCGATCGCTAATTAAAATTCGAGGGACCCCGAACCTTGAAAATATGTGTGATTTGAGAAAACAAGCCACCACCTTGGCATCATCAGTTTTTGTTGCTTTGGCCTCCACCCATTTGGAGACGTAGTCTACTGCAAGAAGGATGTATATGTTACCTTGGGAATTTGGGAATGGTCCCATGAAGTCGATACCCCATGCATCGAAAATCTCACAGAAAAGCATGGGGTTTTGTGGCATCTCATTCCTCCTGGAAATGTTGCCCGCTCTTTGGCAATTGTCACAAGATCGACAAAAGCCGTGTGCATCCCGAAATAGACTCGGCCACCAAAAACCGCTCTCAAGTATCTTCATTGCTGTTCGTTTCGGGCCGAAATGTCCTCCACAAGCATAAGAGTGACAAAACTCTATGATGTGGGCTATCTCATATTCAGGGATGCATCTTCGGATTATTTGATCCTTACAATGCTTCCACAAATATGGGTCATCCCACACATAGAGTCTTGAATTCATTCTTAATTTTTCTTTTTGAGATTTTGAGAGTTGTGGAGGAAATTTGCCGGAAACGAGGAAGTTCACGATATTTGCGTACCATGGTTGTGTGATTTTGATGGAGAAGAGAGTTTCGTCCGGGAATTCTCCTTTGATGAGATTTGTGTGGAGGTCTTCGATGTCTTTGTGAGGGATGAGGCGGCTTAAATGATCAGCCACCAAATTCTCCGCTCCTTTCTTGTCTTTGATTTCCACATCAAATTCACTCAATAGAAGGACCCATCGAATGAGTCTTGGTTTGGCTTCTTTCTTTGTCATAAGGAATCGAAGAGCGGCATGGTCGGTGTAGACAATAACTTTTGTTCCAAGAAGGTAGGAACGAAACTTTTCCAAAGCAAAAACCACCTCTAGCATTTCCTTCTCGGTGGTGGAGTAGTTCTTTTGGGCTTCGTTGAGGGTTGATGAGGCGTAGTAGATGACATGGGAGGCTCTTCCAACTTTCTGGCCCAAAACAGCCCCCACCGCATAGTCACTTGCGTCGCACATGATCTCAAAAGGAAGAGACCAGTCGGGAGCCTGTATGATCGGGGCAGTCACCAATCTTGCTTTCAGAGTGTCAAAAGCCTCTTTGCATTCATCGTTTAGATTAAATTCCACCTCCTTTTGTAAAAGTTTGCAAAGAGGAGATGAGATTTTTGAGAAATCCTTGATGAATCTCCTATAGAAACCGGCGTGGCCGAGGAAAGAGCGGATGTCCCGTACATTTGTGGGGTACGGGAGCGTTTGAATCACATCGATCTTTGCTTTGTCCACCTCGATCCCCTTTGATGAGATCACATGCCCAAGAACAATCCCTTGTTCTACCATGAAGTGGCATTTTTCAGAGTTCAGCACAAGGTTGGATTCAATGCAACCCTTTAGCACAAGAGTGAGGTGATAGAGGCAAGAGTCAAAAGAGTCGCCATGGATTGTGAAATCATCCATAAAGACCTCCATGAATACCTCCACAAATTCTGAAAAGATGCTCATCATGCACCTTTGAAAGGTGCCCGGTGCGTTGCATAATCCAAAGGGCATTCGTCGGTAGGCAAAAGTGCCAAATGGACATGTGAAGGTTGTTTTCTCTTGGTCCTCCGGGGCTATTGGTATTTGGAAATACCCGGAGTAACCATCGAGAAAACAATAGAACTTGTGCCCAGCTAACCTCTCTAGCATTTGATCAATAAAAGGCAATGGAAAGAAGTCTTTCCTAGTCACCGAATTGAGTCTTCGGTAGTCAATGCATACTCGCCACCCGTTTTGAACTCGGGTGGGCACCATTTGAGTGGGACTCACCCACTTGCTATCGGAAATGGGGAAGATGATTCCCATTTGAAGCAATTTGATTACCTCCTTTTTCACCACCTCCATCATGGGTGGGTTCAATCTTCGTTGCGGTTGTCTCACCGCTTTGGCCTCATCTTCGAGCAAGATCCTGTGCATGCATGTGGATGGACTAATGCCTTTGATGTCGGCAATAGACCATCCAATGGCCAATTTATATTCCTTCAAGACCGCGATCAATCTTTCTTCTTGTTCTTGGGACAGGGCATTTGAGATAATCACCGGTAGGGTGCGATTTTCACCCAAGAACGCATGCTTCATATTTTCAGGGAGTGGTTTTAATTCCACCTCCGGTGCCTGCAAAACAGATGGTAGCGGCTTCTCGCTTGGAATGGTTAGCGGGAGGGCTTTAGAGCCCGGTGGCAAAAGTGGGAGTTGATTTAACTCCGCCACCATAATCTTCATGTTATTTGACATAGAGTATTCCAATGTAAAATCCTCTATGTCGTTTTCTATTGCGCTTAATGCTTCATCCTTGCCCTCAATTTCAAATACATCTTGGACCCAAGTGTCGCAAGTGTCAATCGCAAATAGAGAATGATCCTCAGTGGGGTATTTCATGGAGTCGTAGATATTAAATTCGACTCTTTCACCATCGAACTCCATGGTTAACACTCCACTAAAGACGTCAATTTTTGCCTTAGCCGTTTTCAAAAAGGGGCGGCCTAGTAAAATTGGGACTGCATTTTTATCGTTCTCCATTTCAAGAACGTAAAAATCAGCGGGAAAGATTAAATTATCCACCATGACGAGAACATCCTCTACCACACCTTTTGGGTAGGTATTGGATCTATCGGCAAGTTGGATAACGACCCCCGTCTCATGTAAAGGTCCTAGTTCTAGGGACTTATATAGAGAATATGGGATGACATTGATTGATGCACCCAAATCTAACATAGCCCTAGAAGAACTAGAATTTCCAAGTTTACATGGTATAGTGAACATTCCCGGATCACTATACTTTTTAGGCAGTTTCTTTTGAAAAACGGCCGACACTCTTTCACTTACTTGGATTTTATGCTTGCCATTCAACTTGTGTTTCCTTTTAATTGTGCAAAGTTCTTTTAAAAACTTTGCAAACCTAGGAACACCTTTTATTAAATTGAGAAGAGGGATATTTACCTCACATTTGCTGAAGGTCTCATAGATGTCTTTGTCATTGTTGTATCTCCGGTTATCCTTGAGAGCCTCCGGAAAAGGTGGCACTGGCTCATATGAGTTGAGCGGTGGGAACTTTCTTTGAGGTGTGATTTCCTCCTCCTTTTCTTCTTCATTTTGAGGGTTTGTGCTTGGCATCAAGATCTCCTCCTCCTCTTCTCCCACATGGCTCTTTGCTTTCGCCTTAGCCATAACCAACTCTTTGCCACTTCTCAAAGTGACCGCATGAGCTTGTTGCCTCGGGTTCGGCTCCATTTGAGATGGGAGTTTTGCCGAATCCCTAGCTTCTAACCTACTCACGGCGTTTGAGATTTGGCTCATTTGGCTTTCCAAATTGTGGATGCTAGACTTTGTGGTTTCTTGAAATTGGGTCACACTTTGTTGCATCGTAGTCATATTCATGGCTAATGCTCGAATCATGTCTTCGGTGGACATGCTTGAGTTCGATGTTTGGCCTTGTTGTTTAAATTGTTGAGGAGGGGGAGAGTTTGTTTGTTGAGGGGGTTGAGGGTTTCCGTACCTTAGATTTGGATGATCTCTCCATCCTGGATTGTAGGTGTTGCCGTGAGGATCGTACCTCCTTTGGCCTTGGAACCCCAAAGCATTGATTTGCTCGGAGTTCTCCTCTTGTAAAGTTGGGCAAGAATCTGTGGGATGCCCTTGTGTTGAACAGATGCCGCAGACCTTGACTTCTTGGGTTTTTGGATTCAAAAGGAAATCTTTAACCAAAGAAGTCAAGCCGGCTACTTGACTCTCCAACGAGTTGTTGGATTCCGCTGCCATAACTCTCTTTGTTGACCGCCGATCATAGTGTCTACAATTTTCGGCCAACTCCGAGATAAGATTCCTAGCTTGAGAAGGAGTTTTGTTGACTATTCCTCCTCCACATTGATCATCCGTCTATCATCATCGCAAAGACCATCATAAAAGTAAAGGATGAGGTCTTGCTCCGAGTAGCCGTGATACGGACAGCTCGCACAGAGTTTCTTGAATCGTTCCCAGAATTCGTAGAACGATTCATCATCTTTTTGCTCCACATTGCTGATTTGTTTCTTTAAAGATGAGGAGATGGAGGCGGGATAATACCTTTCGAGGAAGCTCTTCTTCATGGCCGCCCAAGTGTCTATGCTTCCCGAGGGAAGATAGAATAGCCAATCTTTGGCGGTGTCTTTGAGGGAGAATGGGAAAGCCCTCAACTTAATTTGCTCCTCGGTAACACCGTTTGGGCACATGCTTGTGCAAACGATGTGGAATTCCGAAAGATGTTTATTCGGATCCTCTCCTCTTAGCCCGTGGAAAGATGGAAGTAGATGTATGAGTCCGGATTTCAACTCAAATGTAGCACCCGCATCAAGAGTTGGGAAGGTGATACATAAGGGTTGTTGATTTAGATTGGGGGCTGTGAGCTCCCTCAGCGTTCTTGTTTCAAGAGCCATTGATATTGACTCCTCGGACTCGCTAGATTGTGAACTAGCACTTGAGAATTCCCCCGAGTCGGTATTTGAGAATTTATTCTTTAACCGCTCGAGAGCTTTTTCTATTTCGGGGTTTGTTTGGTAGGTGAGTTGGTTTATGGATCGGGTTTTTACCATATACTCAAACAAAGCTCAGCAAAAATAGAAAACTTTATATATTATTTTTTTTTTTTGGATTTTTCTTTGAAATAAAATAAAAAGAAAAATTAATTGCCTCTCCCCGGCAACGGCGCCAAATTTGACGAGCACTTTTGTCAAGGTGCGTCAAAATAATTTTCAATACTAACACTTTATACGTAATATAGCGTAGTAGAGTTCGTATCCACAGGGAAAGGTATAATTCTCTTTTTATGAACTTAATGAATAAAAAGGGGGGTTTTGGTTTGAGTGATTTAATTTAATTAAAAACTAAGATGAACAACCTATATGTGTTTAATTCAAGAATAAAAGGAACTTGGCTTTGATACTTTCCACTTGTTGATATATTTTAGTCGATCCTTGTTATATCTATAACTTATCCCCTCTCGAATACTCAATCGAGGAGTATCTCCAATTCATCGAGGGTAGTTATTAACAACGACCGTTCATTAATAACCCTTACTATTAATCAGATATAGAACAACGCCTTATACCGATATAATAGTAGCATTCAATCTTTTTAACTCCTTGATGAAATCAATTGAGTTTGATAACCTTAACACAACGGTTTCGGTTTAACCAACAAAATTGATCCCTCTTAAGTCTATTAACCACGACCGTGCATTAATAAACCGAAGTTACTTACTTGTGAAACCACCAACGATTAACCATCGGTTCGTTGATCGTTTCTAGTAGTAATTAATGTCGGAACGTTAACTAATCGTCACTTAGCAACCCTCCAACATTAATATAGAATGAGATTAAGGGAAGAATTAATAATCAAGAGAAGAAGTTAAGAAAATAACTCACAACTTTAATAATCAACAAGCTTCAAGAGCAAAACCAAGAATGGAAGTTTAGCTCCTCATTTGGAAGCTAAACATAGCTAGAAAAATATAAAGAAATGCTATTCTAAGCTGAGCTAAAGAGATTGGAAGAAGGGATGATGAAATGTGAAGGAAAATGGGGCTATTTATAGGTGTTTTCAACACCTAATGCCGGATACCCGGCCGGGTATTTTGACATACCCGACCGGGTATTTACCAAATCAAATATTTCCCCATGTTTTTGTGTCTTCTGCACGTTCTTTGGTCCGAAATCACAGAATACCCGACCGGGTATATGGAATACCCGACCGGGTATTTGCTAGTTTGCAGCAGTTTCCTTTGTCACTTCATACCCGGCCGGGTAAAATCCATACCCGACCGGGTTTTGCACAAAACTCAGGTTTCTTCATCCTTTTTGCTTCCAAACCTATCCTAAACTTATAGCTCAACTAACTACAACTTAAAACAAACAATAAAATGCTAAAAATACGATTACAATCAAATGCAAACTAACAACTATAAACTTGCACAAAACTAGTAAATAAACATTACAAACAATAATAAAAATGTATACTTAGGCACTGACAACTAGTGCCTATCATCGGGTGGTGGAGGGTTTTGGCTTTGTTCGGGGATGTCCTCGCCCATGTTTTGATGGCTATGGAGTTGAGCATAGGGCTCGTAATCGGGTTGGTGTTGGGGAGGTTCTTGCTCCGGTTCCTGGAGATGTGGTGGAAGGGCGTGTGGGAAGAGGTAATGTTGCTCCTCTACTGCTGTTTTGTAGTGGAGTTGGGGGAGTTCTGGGTTGGGCAGGAGGAAGTATTTGAGGGGTTTGGGGTGTATGAGCCAGTTGTATATATTATTGGGTCTTTCTTCACCATAAATTGTGTGTGAAAAAGATGTACAGCCCGAGTGGCCCAGCTAAGAAATGTTCATCAAACAGTAGTCGGGTATAGGAGAGTCATCCGTATACCCGAACTTGGTGGCTAAGTGCATAATCACCCCACCCACCACAATAGCGCCCTTGGCTACGCTTTCTTTTTTGAGATGTGCCCACATAAGATTACACAGGTTGAAATCCACGTGAACACGGAACGGGGCTACAGACATTAGGCATACATCCCCCATCCTAGTGTGATGGTTGTTGGGACGTCCAAGCAAGCAGTTGGCAAGGAACTTCAAAAATAGGCGGAGGACGGGATGTTGGACATGACTAATATAGAGTTGGGAGGAGCTAAATTTAGTCTCCCCAGTCATCTTTGTCCATAGGGTATGGCCGAAAGCGGTATTGTCGGATATGGATTTTTGGTAAGGGACCGGAATACCAAAATATTCGGCGAACTCAAGTTTCGTGATGGAGTGGTTGTGGTTAAACAAACGAAACTTGAGTTTATCATCCCTAAAATCCGCTTCATTGTTCTCAAATTGCACTGAGCTTATGAATTCATAGATAATTTTTTCATTTGAGTGATATTGCATTTTGAATATTTTATCCATGCTCAACTCATGAAAAACTATTTTAGTCATTTTGTACACTCCTAATTCATTGAGGGCATCATGGCATAAAAAGCGAGAGGGTTTAACTTGCCTTTCAATGGTGGACATGAAGCGGGTGCGGTGTTCGTTGTCGATGAAGATGATGTCCTCGTAGCCCGGGATGGATGCCCTAGTGTTGGAGCTCTGTCCTTTTTCCTTCCTTGGAGCCATTTTGGAGTGAATTTGGGCTTGAAATCCGAAATTTGAAGGTTGGGGTAGGGGTTTTTCGGACCTCTGAAAATTGGGGGAAAATTGGATTGGTGGGTATAAATGTGTAGAGGAAGGTGAGGGGAGTATTTTGGTGTTGAAATGGGATGATTTGGTGAAGAAATGGAGGAGATATGGTAGAGAGAAGATGTAAAAATGGAGGTTGAGGGAGTTTTCTCGAATTTGTGTTTTTAATTAGTTTTGCTTGATCTTTACTATAGAAATTACACACTTTTGGTGTAATAGATTAGTTTGTTAAATTCTTGTAAATAGTTTAGATTAGATATATTCTGAGCTCAAACAGGTCTTGATCACTCGAAGTACAGTTGGTGAACCCAAAGAGTGGAAAGAAGGTGCAAAAATTTGAAGACAAAAGAAGATCCTGAATTTTGGTCTATACTCGGTCGAGTATTAACTATACTCGATCAGGTATTAGGTTGGAACTTCAAATCGGATCAGATCCGAAGACAAGGGAACATGCCGGGAGGATTTCGGCCATGATTTAATGTCTATACCCGATCGGGTAGACCGACATACCCGATCGGGTATGCCTTTGAGTTTTAAGCAAAGATCGGTCGAGTATGGTACGAATACCATTTTCTAAGCATACTCGACCGCGTATAAACATATACCCGATCGGGTATACTTATGGAAAACAGCCTGAAACCGATCGAGTACACCTCGGATCGAGTATTACACACATACTCGATCGGGTACCATGTATATACCCGATCGAGTACCCGAATCCCATCCCAAAAGCCTATAAATACACCTCCTTTCCTTCACAAAAAGATATCCAATTCCTTTGTACATCTAAGCTCAGTATAGAATAGTTCTTTCTTTATATTTTTCATCATGTTTAGTCTCCAAATGAGGAGCTAAACTCTTCCATATTGGTTTTGCTACTTTGAAGCTTAATGAATTTGTAAGTTGTGAGTTATTTTCTTTAATCTTCTTCCTTGAATATTAATTAATTTCTATTCATATTTCATATTAATATTTTAAACATTACTTAAAGTATCAACTAGTTTTGTTTCTCATATTAATTATTACTAGAATCGATCAATTAATACGCTTGTTATTAATCCGGTTCTTTCAATGGTAGTAAATTTGGAATATTAATGCATGCATCTCATGGTTAATATGCCAAGGGGAATTAATTATATTGATTAAACCAATAAACCGCTTGTGTTGAGGTTATCAATCTCAATCGTTTTCATCTTAAGTTTATTGCTACTATCAAGTTAATATACGGCGCTTGTTCTATATTGACTCGATAGTAAGTTTTATTAATGAACGCATCTCGTTATTAATAACTACCCTCGATGAACTGGATATACTCCTCGATTGAGTATTCGAGAGGAAGATAGTTAAAGATATAACCGGGATCGACGAACATTACATTAAGTGGATAAAAGCAAAACCAAGTCCTCATCTCATTGAATTAAACTCATATAGGTTGTTTATCTTAGTGTTTTTAAACCAAACAAATCTAAACCCCCTTGTTACTATTTATATAAAAGAAAAGTATTCCTTTCCCTGTGGATACGAAACTTACTTCGCTATACTACGTATTAGTGTTGTATTGTATTTATTTTGAGTGCACCTCACGACAAGTGCACGTCAAATTTGGCGCCATTGCCGGGGATTGGCAATTAATTTTTCTTTTATTTCATATCAAGAAAAATAAAAAAAAAATATATATTAAACAAAAATATAAAGAGTGTTTATTTTTCTATTTTCTGAGCTTAGTGAAGTTTATGGTTAAACATCGTTCCATAAACGAAATCACATATCACAAAAACCCAGAAATAGAACAAACTTTCGAGCGGTTGAAAAGTAAATTTTCTAATACCGACTCGGAAGAATCATCTTCCAGAGACTCATACACCGCCAGCTCTAGTTCTAGCGACACCGAAGAGCCAACCACTATGACTCTTGAAACAAGAACGCTGAGGGAGCTCACAGCTCCAAACCTCAACCAACAACCATTGTGTATTACCTTCCCTACACTTGATGAGGGTAATACGTTTGAGCTAAAATCTGGGCTCATTCATCTGCTGCCATCCTTCCATGGCCTAAGGGGAGAGGACCCGAACAAACACCTATCGGTAGGGGTGGGCACAAAAAACCGTAACCGTTTAACCGTACCGAAAAACCGGAAAACCGGTGTCTTTTTCGGTTAACCGTACCGGAATTTTTAAAACTCACGGTACGGTTAACCAACCGGGAGGGAAAAACGGTTAGCGGTACGGTTACGGTTTTGGAAATTATGTCACCGGTTAACCAGTAACCGTAGGATTATACGCAAACACTACACACGGACAATAAATTTCGACAAAGGTATGGGGACGGGAAAGTGAACACTTTGTATCATTTTTGGAATTTTGGTGTATGTATATTCAGGTTCACGCATGCATAGTGGAATAATATACACACTTTACAATCAATTACTCCGTACATAAGCTACTGAAATGTATACATTTTCTTTAGTGCTATACGTATATAAATAGTATAATTAACCTAATAACCGTATAAATACATAGATATAGGAACATATAATATGGAAAAGTAGTAGTACACATGGAAAGATAATACGGTGTATACGGGCTAATTAAAGTTTCGGAGCCGGGGAGTTTTTTTTGGAAAAGTTTCTGCTATATAAAATTTCTAATTTAATCTTGAACTGCTTATGTATTTTTTAACAAATCAAATGTTTAATACAGAGTAGTTTGATGACTTTATTCTTTTCCTTTTCATGGGTTTTGGTTAACCAATTAGTGGTTAACCGATATTTTGGTTAACCGAGTATCGGTTAACCAATGTTACGGTACGGATAATGACATTAACACTATATTAACCAACATCACGGTTAACCGAAAATTGGTTAACCAAAGTGCGGTTAACCAATCATGCCCACCCCTACCTATCGGAGTTCCACGTCGTTTGCACAAGCATGTGCCCAAACGGTGTGACAGAAGAACAAATCAAACTGCCGGCGTTTCCATTTTCACTGAAGGATACCGCAAAGGATTGACTATTCTATCTTCCTTCAGGAAGTATAGGTACATGGGCGGCCATGAAGAAAGCGTTCCTGGAAAGGTATTACCCTGCCTCTGTCTCATCCTCTCTAAAAAAGCAAATTAGCAACGTGGAGCAGAAGGATGATGAATCGTTCTACGAATATTGGGAACGATTCAAGAAACTGTGTGCAAGCTGCCCTTATCATGGCTATTCGGAGCAAGACCTCATCTTATATTTCTATGATGGTCTTTGCAATGAAGATAGGCGTATGATAAACGCCGCATGTGGAGGAGGGATTGTCAACAAAACCCCTTCTCAAGCTATAAACCTTATCTCAGAGTTGGCCGAGAATTGTAGGCACTATGATCGGCGGTCATCAAAACGAGTTATGGCGGCAGAATCCAATAACTCGTTGGAAAGTCAAGTAGCTGGCTTGACTTCTTTGGTTAAAGATTTTCACTTAAATCCAAAAACTCAAGAAGTCAAGGTCTGCGGCATATGCTCGACACAAGGGCACCCCACCGACTCTTGCCTCAAAATATTTTTCAACAAGTCAGAAACATATTTTTGTTGACACGGAAAAAGACCATGATATGTATAAACAGTCTGAACACCAAAGAAATGCATTATCTCCCAAAACATTCATAGCAAAATATTTAGCAAAGCAAGAAATAAAAGAACATATGAAGGAGGGAGAGTAACTACTAGAAAATTGACTTATAGTGACACTTTTTTAGTAACTGATGCACACTAATTAGTAGTGCATAATTGTATGTTTTTATGTTTCATTGATGGTGATTGTTTGACGTTTTATTTAGTTTGGAAACATTTATGTGATTTCATTTGTAATTGTATTTTAGTCTTTATTTGTCAGTTGTAAAGTTTAGTTAGGATTTGTGGTGTTGGAAAGGAAGACTTTAAAGTGAAGAAAAAGAAGATTTGGCTGCCCAGGAGCAAATACCCGACCGGGTATAACACTTGACCCGGTCGGGTAAGAAGTGAAAAACGAAAATGCAAAGAAAGTGCATGGCCCGGTCGGGCCCACTACCTCACCCGGTCGAGTGAGAAGTGACCGGGAACAACCCGGTGTGCAAAGATCACCCGAACGTGAAGAATATCCAATTTTTGCACTCACCCGGTCAGGTCCCCTACCCCACCCGGTCGGGTCTGACTTGACCCGGACACTTTAACATGCCGAAGATCGCCAGAACGTGGAGGATATTTGATTTTGACATGGACCCGGTCGGGTGAGTACTTGACCCGGTCGGGTACCCGACCAAAGGTGTTGAAAAACACCTATAAATAGCACACTTTTTCTTCACAAAAAAGCATCCCTTCTTCCAATCTCTTTAGCTCAGTTTAGAATAGCATTTCTTTATATTTTTCTAGCTATGTTTAGTCTCCAAATGAGGAGCTAAACTTCCATTCTTGGTTTTGCTCTTGAAGCTTGTAGATTATTAAAGTTGTGAGTTATTTTCTTAACTTCTTCTCTTGATTATTAATTCTTCCCTTAGTCTCATTCTATATTAATGTTGGAGGGTTGCTAAGTGACGATTAGTTAACGTTCCGAAATTAATTATTACTAGAAACGATCAACGATCGATGGTTAATCGTTGGTGGTTTCACAAGTAAGTAACTTCGGTTTATTAATGCACGGTCGTGGTTAATAGACTTAAGAGGGATTAATTTTGTTGGTTAAACCGAAACCGTTGTGTTAAGGTTATCAATCTCAATTGATTTCATCAAGGAGTTAAAAAGATTGAATGCTACTATTATATCGGTATACGCCATTGTTCTATATTTGATTAATAGTAAGAGTTATTAATGAACGGTCGTTGTTAATAACTACCCTCGATGAATTGGAGATACTCCTCGATTGAGTATTCGAGAGGGGATAAGTTATAGATATAACAAGGATCGACTAAAATATATCAACAAGTGGAAAGTAGCAAAACCAAGTTCCTTTTATTCTTGAATTAAACACATATAGGTTGTTCATCTTAGTTCTTAATTAAATCAAATCACTCAATCCAAATCCCCCCTTTTTATTTACTAAGTATCATAAAAAGAGAATTATTCCTTTCCCTGTGGATACGAACTCTACTACGCTATACTACGTATAAGTGTTGTATTGATTAATTATTTTGAGTGCACCTCACGACAAGTGCACGTCAAATTTGGCGCCGTTGCCGGGGAAAGGCAGTTATTTTTCTTTCTATTTTATTTCAAGAAAAATAAAAAAAAAACATTTAAAAGATTTCTATTTTGGCTGAGCTTTGTTTGAGTATATGGTTAAACACCGATCTATATACCAAATCACCTACCAAACAAAACCCGAAACAGAACAAGCCTTCGAGAGGTTCAGGAATCTATTTCCGAATACTTCTTCGGAGGAATCATCAAGTGCTAGTTCTCATTCTAGCGAATCCGAAGAGTCCTTCCACATGACCCTGGAAACAAGAACGCTGAGGGAGCTAACGGCTCCGAATCTAAATCAACAACCCTTATGTATCACTTTTCCAACTCTTGATTCGGGGGTCACATTCGAGCTAAAATCTGGGCTCATTCATCTACTTCCATCTTTCCATGGCCTACGAGGGGAAGATCCAAATAAACACTTGTCAGAGTTCCGTATTGTGTGCACAAGCATGTGCCCCAATGGGGTGTCCGAGGAGCAAATCAAGCTGAGAGCTTTCCCATTCTCTCTCAAAGACACCGACAAAGATCGGTTATTTTATCTTCCCTCGGGGAGCATACATACATGGGCTCAAATGAAAAAGAGCTTCCTTGACAGGTACTATCCGCATCTATCTCTTCAAGTCTCAAGAAGCAAATCAGCAACATTGAGCAAGCGGATAATGAGACCTTATATGAATATTGGGAGCGCTTTAAAAAATTATGTGCTAGTTGCCCATATCATGGGTATTCAGAACAAGATCTCATCCTCTACTTCTATGATGGACTTGCTGATCAAGATAGATGCATGGTGAATGCGGCATGCGGAGGGGGTATTGTTAACAAAACCCCTTCTCAAGCAAGAGACCTCATTTCGGAGTTGGCTGAAAACTCGAGACATTACAACGGAAGGTCATCATCGAAACGAGTCATGGCAGCAGAATCCAACAACTCGTTGGAGAGTCAAGTAGCCGGCTTGACTTCTTTGGTTAAAGATTTCCTTTTAAATCCAAAAACCCAAGAAGTCAAGGTCTGCGGCATCTGTTCAATGCAAGGGCATCCCACAGATTCTTGCCCGACACTACAAGAAGAGAACTCCGAGCAAGTCAATGCTTTGGGGTTCCAAGGTCAAAGGAGGTACGATCCTCAAGGAAATACTTACAACCCGGGATGGAGGGATCATCCGAATTTAAGGTACGGAAATTCTCAAACAAATCCTCCTCCTCAACAATACAAACCACAAGGCCAAACATCGAACTCGAGTATGTCCACCGAAGACATGATTCGAGCGCTGGCCGTTAATATGGGAACAATGCAGCAAAGCATGGGGCAATTCCAACAAACCATGATGCAATTCCAACATGAAACCAAGTCGAGCATTCAAAATTTGGAAACTCAAGTTAGCCAAATTTCAAATGCCGTAAGTCGACTTGAAGCAAAAGATTCGGGTAGGCTCCCCTCCCAAACTGAGCAAAACCCAAGACAACATGTCAATGCAATCATGTTGAGGAACGGTAAAGAATTGCAACCACGGGAAGTTGAGGAGGAGAAACAAGAGGTTGATCTTGAAGAAGGCTTTCAACAAGAAGAGGAGAAGCCAACGAAGACTAAATTCCCTCCACTGTCATCATATGAACCACTCCCTCCATTCCCTGAGGCATTGAAAGACACGAGGAAGTTGAAGAATGATCGGGACATCTACGAAACATTCGTCAATTCTGAGGTAAACATCCCACTCTTCAAACTGATCAAAAGTGTTCCCCGTTATGCAAAGTTCTTAAAGGAACTATGCACAATGAAAAAGAAAAATAAACTGGAAGGGAAACAAAAAGTTGAAGTGGGTGAACGTGTCTCGGCCATTTTTAAAAAGAAACTCCCTGAGAAATGTAGCGATCCAGGCATGTTCAATATTCCTTGCAAAATAGGGGATACCTTATTTTCTAAGGCCTTGTTGGATTTAGAAGCGTCAATAAATGTCATTCCTTATTCCTTATATAAATCCTTACAACTCAGCCCACTACATCAAACTGGTGTAGTGATTCAACTAGCGGATCGGTCTAATACTTACCCGAAGGGTGTAGTAGAAGATGTGCTAGTAGAAGTAGAAAATTTGATTTTCCCTGTTGATTTTTATGTTCTGCAATGGGAGATGATAACCAAACTACACTCATCCTCTTAGGTAGGCCTTTTCTAAAAACCACAAAAACAAAAATAGACGTGTCTAATGGTTCATTAACTTTAGAGTTTGATGATCAAAAGGTAGAATTCAACATTTTTTATTCTACGAAAAAACAAATTAAAGATCAATCTCTTTGTTCTTTAAATGTTTTTGAACCACCACCGACACTAAATATTTTTGTTGGAGAGGAAACTGAAAAAAATTTAATTTTTAATGAAATAAAAATTAAGCCAAAAAAATCTATTTTGAAAGAAGAAGAACTTAAAAAGTCACCTCGGTGCGAATTAAAACCACATACGATTGAGGTGGTAATGAGAAAGAAATCTCGACCTTACTGGAAAAGGCGGAGGAAGAAAAATGACACAAGGGATAAAACAGAAAATAAAATAAAAATAACGTCGTGCCGCGACATTAAATCAAGCGCTTCTTGGGAGGCAACCCAAGTTTTTATTTTTAATTTCATATTTTTTCAGTTCGTGTGTTATAATTGTTTTTTTAAAAAAAAATGAGCCTGGGCTGAAACCCGGCCGGGTATCTCAAACAACCCGGTCGGATTTATTAATTAAAAAGGAATACCCGGGCAACACGGCCACCGGGTTGCTAACGAAAACAAAAAAAAACATATGCCCGACCGGAGGCTTCCAAAACCCGATCGGGTCTGCACATATTTTTGGCTCTGAACACACTGGAATGCATACCCATTCGGGTATTTATGAAACTCGGGCGGGTACGCATTTAATTTTTGAAAAAATCAGCAAGACCCGACCGGGTACCCTAAAGCACCCGACCGGGTAGTCGTTCCAGTAGCTACTGGATAAGAAATACCGCACAGCCCGACCGGGCGGAAGACTTCACCCGACCGGGTAAACGGGAAATTCGCACTTAACCAGGTCGGGCTCACCCCTTTCCCCTCCCACTTCTTCTTCCTCCTCACGAAAAAATCCTCAAAACCCTCCATTTTTACACACCAAAACCTTCGATTCTACACCATTTCTCCACCAAATCCACTAAATAACACCATAATCTTCATCTACTCAACCTTCTCAACACACCCATATCCATAAAATCCCATTTTTTCCCCATTTGCAAAAATCTGAAACCCTAACCCCCAATCCCCCAAAGTTCCGATTTTTCTACAAAAAATCCCAAGAAATCCCAATTTCTTCTCCTAATAATCATCCTCTCCACTCTCACAACCCCAAAATACCCAAGACCCACCAAAATTCCAAAGTTCCAAACCCCACCCTACCCAAGTCCGAAAATCACAAAAAAAAAATCCGAAAAAAAAGTGGACTTCAATGGCTCCAAGAAAGTCAAAAGCCTCTTCCTCAAGGGGAAATCGAGCTATCCCACCAGTAGCGGGCTATGAGAGTGTGGAGTTTGCTACGGAGGCTCAACGGAACAACTTCATCAACCAAGCAAAACGGGAGGTAAAACAATCCCGTTTTATGTGCTTAACTACTTTAGCACTACTATGGATTGATACTGTGATGCGTGACATATTTGCAAGAATTGGAATATCAAGAATGTTTGAAATGCAATATGTGACCTATCCTCATTTGGTGTATGAATTTTTTAGCTCATTTGCGTATACAAAAGATGTGAATGATCATGCAAATGACATAATCACCTTTCGTTTACTAAATGAGGATCGTTCATTAACCAAACGAGAATTTGTTCAACATTTTGGTCTCCCATGGTTTGATGAAGCACGTACATATGATTCTCTTGTGGGGTATGAATTGTGGAGAAGAATGACCGGAAAGAATGTGGTTGATCTATCTAAACTGAGTGTGAATCGTGTGCAACATCCGGTCTTCTGACTATTCCTAAAATTTTGCTCAAATTGTTTCCTCGGAAGACCGAATAATCATCACACACGTATCTGGGATGTGTGTGTTCTAGCACAAGCTGTTTTGCCGGGCCCAAATCAAGTTGATGTTGCCACCATTGACGATGCAATTTGTCACGGTGCGTCGTCAAAATAAATTCAATACTAAACACTTATACGTAGTATAGCGTAGTAGAGTTCGTATCCACAAGGAAAGGAATATTTCTCTTTTTATGATACTTAGTAAATAAAAGGGGGGATTTGGATTGAGTGATTCAATTTAATTAAGAACTAAGATGAACAACCTATATGTGTTTAATTCAAAGATAAAAAGACTTGGCATTGCTACTTTCCACTTGTTGATATATTTTAGTCGATCATTGTTATATCTATAACTTATTCCCTCTCGAATACTCAATCGGGGAGTATATCCACTTCATCGAGGGTAGTTATTAACAACGACCGTTCATTAATAACCCTTACTATTAATCAAATATAGAACAACGCCGTATACCGATTTAATAGTAGCATTTAATCTTTCTAACTCCTTGATGAAATCAATTGAGATTGATAACCTTAACACAAGCGGTTTCGGTTTAACCAACAAAATTAATCTCTCTTAAGTTCATTAACCACGACCGTGCATTAATAAACCGAAGTTACTTACTTGTGAAACCATCAATGATTAACCATCGGTTCGTTGATCAACGTTCCGACATTAATTATTACTTGTGGAGGGTTGCTAAGTGACGATTAGTTAACGTTCCGACATTAATTATTACTAGAAACGATCAACGAACCGATGGTTAATCGTTGGTGGTTTCACAAGTAAGTAACTTCGGTTTATTAATGCACGGTCGTGGTTAATAGACTTAAGAGGGATTAATTTTGTTGGTTAAACCGAAACCGTTGTGTTAAGGTTATCAATCTCAATTGATTTCATCAAGGAGTTAAAAAGATTGAATGTTACTATTATATCGGTATACGACATTGTTCTATATTTGATTAATAGTAAGAGTTATTAATGAACGGTCGTTGTTAATAACAACCCTCGATGAATTGGAGATACTCCTCGATTGAGTATTCGAGAGGGGATAAGTTATAGATATAACAAGGATCGACTAAAATATATCAACAAGTGGAAAGTAGCAAAGCCAAGTTCCTTTTATTCTTGTATTAAACACATATAGGTTGTTCATCTTAGTTCTTAATTAAATCAAATCACTCAATCCAAATCCCCCCTTTTTATTTACTAAGTATCATAAAAAGAGAATTATTCCTTTCCCTGTGGATACGAACTCTACTACGCTATACTACGTATAAGTGTTGTATTGATTAATTATTTTGAGTGCATCTCACGACAAGTGCACGTCAGTAACACTATTTGAGAAAGTATCACAAATATGTGACATTTTATGATACACAAATGTCACTATATTATGACACAATGATGTCAAATTAAATTGATATGGTGACACTTATTACATCAATTTTTATTATTATTGCTTAACCAATTAACCCTATAAAAGTCTAAGTAAAAATAGCTTTCTCACCCGTGGATTCCACTCCCTCTGTCCCTTAAACTTTGTCATCTTTTCTTTTTGAAATGTACCAAAAATGTTGCAAGTTTTCCTTTTAATCAACTAATTTGTGATTCACGTGTTTCCTTTTTGAGAAGATATCAAAGAAAAACATAAAAAGAAATGAGGATATAATTATAGAAAAGTTAGGATTAAATGAGTTTTTTCCCGGAATAATGCTAATTAAATAAATAATTCCTGAAATACTGCCGGGTTAAGAATAATTCCCAAAATACTGCTGAAATCGACCTACCTACACTGGACCACGAGTTGTGCATGACCCGTTAATGATTCGCGCTAAAGGTCGTCCGAAGGCTAAATGGTTGAGAAATGAAATGGATGAAGGTCCTAGAGGTACTGTGAGATGCGTTTATGTAAGCAAACAGGGCATAACAGGACGACATATGTTAAAAGATCCACTGGGTAATGTTTTTTATTCACATATGCATTAGCAATATTAATAAATAAATAAAATTAAATTTAATAATAATATAAAATTACTAATACATATATTACTATTACAGCGTCAATGCAGGTGTCAGTGGATCCCGGAGCGATTGATCCTTCAGTCCTAACATTACAGGCCACGCAC